CCCCCGGGGGGGGGGGGGGGGGGGGAGTGAGTGAGCAGCTGTGTGGTGCTTAGTTACCGGCTGGGGTTAAACCATGACAAACCTGTTTATAAGTGAGGAGAAACTTTTTTATAAAGAATATTGTATTCAATACTATGAAGAAGAATAGATTAGCTGAATAAATGGTAAAACCAGGAGAACTGAAAACATTGCCAGACTGTTTTAAACAACCTGAAGAATAAGAAAAGTGTCTTTTCCAGTAACTTTCTTGAGCATATTTAGCCATAAACACTTTCAGATGGTGTTTGATTTTAAGTTGCCTGAATAACCACAGTTTTATAGTCACAATCCATTTTTCAATTAATTTCAAAAAGCAATTTGAAAATGTTTTAAACATTGTTTTTTAAAAAAAAAATGAAGGTTGAATATTGTTAGAGGCATCATGGAATGTAGATAAGCTAGGTTAATCTAGGAAAGCCGGGTTGGTTTTTTTTCAGAATTAATTGGACAAATTTATTTTACCCATTTTCCCTTCACCAGTTGTGTTAAACTATTCTTCAGGAAAGATGAGAAAGATAGACTTAAAAAGACTCATGTTCTCTCGTATCTATGTCAATCATTTTTTGAGTATTTCTAACCAAGCTTCAGCTTAATGTGTAGGATAGGGATGATCATAACTATACCAGTAAGGTATTTAATGGATTAGTTAATATTTGTACATTATTTTGAAGCTAATTAGTGAAGAGAAAAACCCTGATTATCTTCAGTCACATAAGCCAGCACAAAGAAGTGTCAAAGATAAAATTTAATTTAGGGATCATAAAAATAAGTTCACTGTAAAACTTCATGAGTTGTACAGTATCACACAATAGAAAGACATCCTAATGTTGAATTCATTATCCAAGAGGAAGGAAAAGTATGTTAGGCAACGTCTACACAGCAGTTTTGTAACAGTATGCAAACACCACCAATAACAGCACTCTGGCCAGACAGCCTAAAGACACAGATAACACTGTAGCTAGAATGCCAGCAAATTTGCACTGATCCATGCACTATTTTTTACCAAAAGTCTTTTCAGGAGGAAAAAATTATCTAGCATAGACATCCCATTTGGGTTCTGTAAAGTTTTGCGCAATGCTGTTTTCTATTGTTCCTTTAATTTGTATTTTTGGTGAAGCAGCTATGGGATTGAAGTGTCGGTAGTCTACAGAGTGCTTTGATTCAAAGAAAAAGACTTAATGAAAACAACAAATAAAGAAAAGTATAGCAGACTAAGATATGAGTTAAAAAGTTAAGAGAGCAAGTTACGGGAGAACCTTTTAAAACTTACGCTTACCTGGATACAAAAGCGTACACACCTGAGCTCAGAAAAATAGCTGGCCACTCTCATAAGGGCAATTTTCATTAAAAGGGCTAACAGAATTCTCTCAGGACTCATAAGCCATTGATAAATCATGTCCCGCTTGGTAAAACAGACAAAAGATAACTTTTTCAGTACTTACATCAAACGTGGGTGTGCTTTGCTGGGCACTCTGATTACAGGGTTCTCTGAAGCAGTCAGTGAATGGAAGCAAAAGACCCATTGCAATAATGCGAGAACATAGTTTTTCTGCTTCTTCTTGTGGTGCATTTTCCTGCTGGCTGAAGAGCTTTTCTAGCAGAGTTCGTCCTGCCAAGGTGATGACACAGATCAATAAGAATTTGTAGCTATCTACGGGACACAAAGATTAAGGCATTACAATGTGTATCGAAAATCTCAACTATTAGAAGTAAAAATATGAAATTAAAAAAGAATTCTTGAGAAAAGTATCTGATAATAAGTCTTTAATATTTTATATTTCTATACAATAATTCAAACTGATCTGTAGCCTGATTTATCAGTAAATTGAAGAAAATGTACATTGTGTTGGCTGCACTGTGGAGGAGGAACAAAAACCATGAGATGCCATTGTAGCATCAATTTCCTATTTATATTATACAATTGTTCGGATGGGAAAACCAAGATATTAACAAGAAATGAAGTAACTTTTCCAAGGGTGTCACACAAAGGTATTATAGAATCAAGTCTCCCAACTCTTGGAATGAGTCTTTGGTTTTTTGAATCATAAAATTATGACAGTCTTCAAGAAATTGTGCTCTGTTTCTTTGGAGAAATTCTCAATAAAGGAATAATAACAAAAAAAAAAAACCCTGATAACTATTCTGTTTAAAATTGTATTTAATACAGCTCCAGAGCAGCAGAGTGCTCCAAAACAAAATGCAGTGCTACAAGCAGCAATTCAGAGAAGTAAAACTTCTGAAGAGTGGGGAGAGATTTATTCCTATTATAGCTCGAGATTTCATGATCAAAGTATTTTCTTTGTTATCTCACTAGAGCATGAAAGGAGGGCATATGTTATAAAGTATGTTACAGGAGACAATGCTAAAAGTTTGAAAGACTGTTATACTGTGTGCAGTTAACCAAAAAGAGACTACAAAAATTAGTTATACATGCAGGCTGTAATAAATCTACATTGTAAGAATATTAAATTGCTTGATTAGGCTCTAAAATGTTAAAAGATGCCAAAGTTAAGATTTACAGGATATAAATAAAGAGATTAAATAGATCTACTGGAAAAGAAAAGGCAGACAAGGTAATAAATTTAATTTCATGTTTTAGCATGAACTAGCTGTGAATACAATTTGTACCTAAATCAGTTTCTATAGTCTGTTTTTTCCACCCACTCACTGGAAACGAAAGGTATTTTCGAGAAAAAATATATTGCATTAAGAAAGCACTTTAGTGTCATTTAAAGAAATAATAATAAAAATAATAATGATGATGATGATAATGTTAATACTTCTGTTTTTTACATACAAATGCAAGATTTCTGGTTGAACGTTGATTCTATTCAAAATCTAAAATTTCCCAGGCTTTCTGAACATACTAAAAAGATTTTTCTTTTAAACATCTGGATGCAATTTAAAAAGGATATCATAAGTGACATTTAGCCCAAAGTTTCTGTATTATTTTCATTTCATGTGGCACTACAGCCTAAAATAAACAACGCATTAAAATGTTAGAGGTTATTGCTAAGATTTTCCTCTCTACATCTAAAAATCTGATAATTCTGAATTATAAACCCAAGTTTCCTAGCCTTTTGTTAGATGCAATACAGTACATTCAAGGGGATAAGCTTGTAAGATACACAAGTTTTGTTATGTTTGCTAATTAGTTTGCCTCTGTTCCTTGGTTTCACCACCTATAAGGTGATGCCAACAAAATTGCTTATTCAGCATATCCTTCTATTTAGCTAAAGATACAGTTCAGTTGTTAAATCTTCAAAATCGTTAATTAATTGAAGATAGGCTTTCTTACTGACTGATATGCACTGTGATTTTTAACAACAATTTACCCACAGTTGCAGCAATGTACAGCAATCCCCTACATGAAGAAAGGCAACAGTATGAAACCACGGAAGCGAAGTGCAAATAGGGAGCTATCTGCCAACAGATGTTTTTGTGATTTGTTGTAGTAATTTTTCTTTGGGGTTGTAGTTGCCAATGCTTAGTGGTGATGTAAAAGATCACTAAAAGAAAACCCTATCTACTGCCCTCTTACTGTGATAAATGGATTCTCCTAGCTATAAATATAGAGGTTAAGCTATGTAAGTTTTAGAAAAAATTAAGAGTACAAGACTGGCATCACACTGGCACCAGAGCACCAATAGGTAGCATTTCTGGGGCAAAGCACATCATATTACCATAGTATCACCTTATATCACTGAGTAAGTTCAGCAACAAGGAAAGTTGTTTAGTTAAATGAGAGACTGCAACTGATGAGGATGAATGGGGAAGTCAATGCTTTACACTTATCTAAAATGCACAGAAGAAAAAATAATAATAAAAAAATAACAGAGGAAAAGCACTTTGCGCACACACACAAAATAGAACTATGCAAGAAAACTATACATTTCTTCATGCTATATTAAACATTCAAATGTTATCCATGACTTTTGAATGTCAGACTTGATATATCTTTTTATTTTTTTGTCTGGATGTTCCAACGTTTAAATAATCCTATCAAGTTTAGAGTCTTCTCCTGCACATCCAGAAGCAGAACAGCCCCCTCCTTTCCTTCTGTCTCCCCCTCCCCCCACCCCGGCTTTTGCTTTAACCTAATTAACAGGGATAATATCTGTAAATGACAAAACAGGAAATGAGGCCTTTTATTCCCCCCTTAATCCACTCACTCATTTGCTAATTTTTTGTAGCACTTCTTAACAGTCTTGCTCAAGATCAAATACTTTATTCAGAATCTTGCCATTCAGTTGCAGTTTAATTCGTACAGTGGTTATTAACTATTGTTGCTTTTTGATTATTAACTATTGTCTAAACATACTTTAGCATTCAGACAATATAGAATAAGTATATATGTAAAAAAGTCATTAATGAACTTAATATATTTTACTGTACTTTGTATTACTTATGTCATTTTGTCCCTCTGAACCTGAAGCATTCTCTCCAGTGTATTAGTAGTCTCAGAATAAATAGGTTAGTAAAAATTGTTTAATTGTATTAGCTAGCACTTTTTTAACCTAAAAGAATCAATCATTTATCTCTAGTACTACTAAGCTGTTCTTTGCATCAAATATACGTTGAGTCAAAAAAATAAAGGTTCTCAACACAAAGGTAATAATGTTCGGATAAAGCTGCGCTCTAACACAGCTTGTGTGTTCCTTACAATTGCTATGGAAACCTGAGGACAGACACAGAAATTTGAATTACAGAAATACATTTTGCCAGTTCAGTTAACACATTTTACCAAATGCAAGCTGAAAAAAGTTCCATTTTCAATGCATAGAGAAATAGCTTCACTGCGAACAGCTGTGAAAAAAAAAATCTGTAAGAACAATAAATGGGTTATATGTTCAAAGCACTTACTGGGCAGTGTATTTAGAACAGACTGTTAAGCCACTAAAGTTTTGTACCTAACCAGCTAGGGCTTATCATCAAACTGAACAGTCATTACATGTGCCAGAACCATCCATCCCACATCAAACATAAAACCCAGCCAAAGTTATAAAAAAGACAACACATATTTTCCTTAAAGGGGACCAAGGAGGTAAACTCTACCAAAAGAAAGTGTGTCAATACTTGAGAGCGTTGCTCATTTCTGAGACAACACCACACCGTGCTGTACCACCTGACAGATGGAGTAGCCATGGCACTGTAGTTCCAGACAGGGCTGAAGTTATTCTACATGGGAGAACAACATTTGAAAGCCACCGCTTACCAAAAAGTAGTTCGATCCTTGTTAGAGGCATCTGATATTTCCCTTTCATGTACTTTCAGGTAAAAGCCAGTTGTCACTACAGTAAAAACGTTCCAGCTCCAAAGTCCTCTGTGGCCTGGGGAGGCTGGTGCTGAGTCCACCCCTGCCCCACTGCTCTCTGACCTTACCTGCGCTTGAACTGGTGTCAAAGCAAGAGATGTTTGTGAAACAGCAGGGGTCACATTTATGATTTTGATTCAGGGCAAGATGAAATTTATATTTTTGTTTAGGTATAGCAAAAAAACTCTTTAACATTGGACTCCACAGGCTTTTAACTTTTTTTGTTTGGAACCAGAAATGGTTTTCCAGCACCCTGTCTATTTGCACTACACGTTAAATTAAAATGACTTTGTGTCTATATGCTTGAAATTGACTGTACAATGTTAATCCCTGAATCTATTCATTAAATGGCAAAACCAAAACCACAGCCATATTTAATGCATAGGCTAAATTCCAGTGAACTTCAACTGCAAGATTTTGAGCCACAATTTTTTATCTTTCGCTTATAAACAAAGTGCAGCAACAACCACCTTTTTCCTCAGACACCATTAATCACCTCATATTTGTAACTTACATGGGTAATACCTTCAACAGGTGAAGATGGTTGCAAATAACCTGGAATAATTAAATGATTAATGATTTCATAATTATTAAATGACCAGCTGATTTCTGTTACAGGGATTTAAATGCAATGGTAAAACAATTTATCTTGGTTGCCTTTACATGCTATGAAAATAGTAAAGAACAAAGAGCTCTCAGATCTTTTTCCCTAAAATAAAAAAAAAATGGGAACTTAACATTTTAAACAACTTTTCTTCCCAGAAATCCCAGGTCATGAAGTTCCTGAAGCCCATTCTTACCTTTCCCCTAAGTATTAGTTTGGTGAGAGATGGGAGGCATACTAAGTTTTGAATTAGAGAAGAACTGCAGCTAAGTTTCAGCCTTAGATCAAATCAGTATTCTGAGGATCTTGCCAAAACCCTTCACCAAATAAGATGACCACAAACTCCTAAGTTATTTTTTAGGAGCTTAGAACGACTTATTAAATCCCAGTAAGGGTTTAAAAGACTTTTTTCTTTTCTTACAAAGGATTACACAATTAATTAACTAAAAGAATGGGAACATGAAATTAAGTTTGGAAGTAACAGGTAGTCTGGCCTTCTGTGGATATTTAGTGATACTTTTGCTCAGGCTCAGCCTGTGTCTTCTGGCTCAGCTTCCAAATTCCATGTTCTCCACCTCCATGCCATTTGCTGCTTCCTCCCATTCCCATGAAGATGAAGCACTATGATCTTGTCACCTCCTGTACAACATTACAGGTCTTCATCTCATCCCTATGACCAAGACTTGAGTAA